CCCTGTCCTCGTCCGTCCCTCATACGTCCTGTCTGGTGCTGCCATGACTGTCATTCGCAGCCAGGAGGACCTGAAGGAGAAGCTTGAGGCTGCGGCCAACGTCTCCCCCGACCACCCCGTCGTCATCAGCAAGTTCATTGAGGGCGCTGAGGAGATCGACGTCGATGGTGTTGCATCTGAGGGCAAGCTGATCCTCCACGCCGTCTCTGAGCACGTTGAGCAGGCCGGTGTCCACTCCGGAGATGCTACCCTGGTCCTCCCTCCTGCCAACATTGACCAGACCACTATGGACCGTGTCAAGGACATCGCTGAGCGTGTCGCCAAGGCGTGGCGCATCACTGGTCCCTTCAACATGCAGATCATCAAGGCTGATAACCCTGAGGGCGGCGAGCCTCTGCTGAAGGTCATTGAGTGCAACCTCCGTGCTTCCCGTTCATTCCCCTTCGTCAGCAAGGTCTTGGGCACCAACTTCATCGATGCCGCCACCAAGGCTCTTGTCGGCCAGGACGTCCCCAAGCCTGTCGACCTCATGGCTGTCAAGCGTGACTACCTTGCCACCAAGGTGCCCCAGTTCTCCTGGACCCGTCTCGCCGGTGCCGACCCCTTCCTCGGCGTCGAGATGGCCTCCACCGGTGAGATTGCTTGCTTCGGCAAGGACCTCGTCGAGGCCTACTGGACCTCTCTGCAGTCGACCATGAACTTCCGCATGCCCGAGCCCGGTGAAGGTCTCCTCTTTGGCGGTGAGCTCAACAAGGAGTGGCTCCCCACCGTCGTCAACTACCTCGCCCCCATGGGCTACAAGCTCTTCGCCGCCGACAACGAGGTCAAGGAGTTCCTCGAGTCCAGCACCAAGGGTAAGGTCTCTGTCGAGGTCATTGAGTTCCCCAAGGAGGACAAGCGCGCCCTCCGCGAGGTCTTCCAGAAGTACGACATCCGCGGTGTCTTCAACCTGGCCCAGGCTCGTGGTAAGACCGTCATGGACGTCGACTACGTCATGCGTCGCAACGCCGTTGACTTTGGCGTCCCTCTGTTCATGGAGCCCAAGGTAAGTTCCCTAAATCACCATGACAAAAGCTGTAAGATCAAAATGTGCTAACTTACAAACTTAGACTGCCATGCTCTTTGCTCAGTGCATGAGCGAGAAGCTCCCCCGCAAGGAGGGTATCCCCTCCGAAGTCCGCCCGTGGTCCAACTTCCTCGGCGGCAAGCCTTTGTAAATACCACAAACTTTATTCGCATCTTTATCTTTTCAAAAATTTGGAGTTTTAGGTTAGCCGGAAATGTTCTCGTTTCTACGAACAAAAAAAGAAAGACCTCGAAATCGGCGAAGGGCGATGGTGATATCGGCAAATGGGGTGGATTAAAAAATAAGGAACTTTGTTTTTATTTTACCCCTTTTTTTCTAGTTGAGAAAGAAAAGAACTTGTTTAAAACAACCTCTCTTGCTCTACCCTTCTCTTGATGTGACTTTCAAGCTCCTGCTATATCCTCATCTCGGAACTGGTTCTGGGTAAGCATCGTAGTCATGGGACCCAGTATATGTTGGGCCTTTGAATCACCAAGGTCTTGGAGACGACGTGAGGCCATACTGACGAAGCGTACATCCATGATTTCATGAATAGCCACGTTGGCTCGAAACCTTGTCGTTTGTAGAGCAAATCAACCGCTGAGGTCAACTAGCTGGAAACTTGAAGATTGAAAACACTGGATTAGATGACCAGACCGCTTGTTTGGGTTTCCTATTTGAACCCAGGCCCCCTCCAATCCGGAGGAACTGCTGACTAGGTACCTAAGGTACAAGTGCCTTTGATCGCTTCGACCTGCCCAAGGACCATTTGTGCCTCCCATGCCATTACATGCTTCCCTGATCCCCAAACACCAGGCCTATCACCTTTGGCCAATCGCAAGAGCATGCATTCCTAGCCCTTTCCCATCTGGAATTCTCAAGGGTTTTGAGAGAGCCTTTTCCCAGGGTCCGCATCATCGCTTGATGAAACCCAGTTGCGTCAAACATACGGATTCACAGAGCACATCTCACGAAATTGCTCTGCTTACCGAGGTGGGCGACGCTCGTTCAGCCTGAAGGCAGCAAATCGTTTAGCAAGGGGTTCTTCTGTGGTCCTGGATTGGCGCCCAGATGGCTCATGCAATTCACTGGAAGCGGGATGGCCCTCGGACTGCCGTGGGCGCTTGGGGATTCGCTCACCGGTCGATTGCAGGATCGCCTGCAAAGTCCTCCAGCCCTCGGTAGATCGCAGCTGATAGTTGTCAGCCAGGTCATGTTGCGATGCAACTCGGCATAACAGCGACTCTTCGTCCTAGGATATGTCAGTAACAAGCTGCCAAATGAACGTGATTAACACACCTTGGAAAGAATGCCCATCTGGCGAATAAAGGTGAGCAAGTGGAAGTTGGACATTTCCAAGCCACCTTCGGCGGGTTTCTGACCGCCCGAGAACTTGAGGATCCTAGCGGCCGCAGAGTGCTCTTGACTTTCGCCCATGTACTCGCGGTTCTCGATGGGGAAACCTAGTTGGGTGAAAGTAGGCTTGGACTCATCAGGGAATCCGTGTGTCAAGGTCACGAAGAGATACTCTACGGGGAACGATGGCTTGGCGTTCTCTTGTACATTGGCACCGTACTCGTTGATCCGACGATAGAAAACTTCGGGGATGTATCTTGTCCGGCTCGTGGATCCGTCGTCTTCCTCCTCCTCTTGGACAAGCATCACGTTGGGGTCAGCCGAGGGTTCGATAATATCGGCGCGGACCATCTCCACAGCGTCATTAGAAGCCTGGTATGATGAAATCGAGATTTCTCCCGACTCGTTGCCCGAGACGATGCAAGTGACGAAGTTGGATCCAAATTTGCCGCTGTCGCTCCACTTGGTGGGCTTTGGGTGTTGAGCCTGTAAACGTGAGATGAAGCAGATTTCCTGCGAAGCCAGGAAGTACGAATCAGCGTGTCTCTTGCAAACGACTGATCCGTCGCCCGCTCCAGCGTCCAGAAGGTCAGTAAAAATGACGCCGACCTGCTGCAGCCCGCAGAGTCTTGCGACCTCGTCAACATCTTTCTGGTTTTCCCACGCATCCAATGAAACCCCATCCACTTCATCGATTTGGGGCGGCTCGTAGATGGCCTCAACGACGGCCTTGATACCGAGGGGTACAACCTCATACTCTGTGTACCGGCCGTACAAGATGCCCAATCTTTGACCTCCCGTCTTTCTCCAGGCGTCGATGAACGTGTCGATAATAGCAGGCGACGAAAATTCCACGTGGTCCACCATGCGGAATGGCTGCGGCTGCAAGGTGATGGCGCTCGGCTGGCACTTCGTGCAGATACCTTCAGGCCACTGAGGATGGCCCGAAGGACAGTCGCGCTTGACTCTGAAGTATGGCTCTACAAGGGGCGGGATATAAGAGCTTCCAAGTTCAGGCTTGTTCGTGGCGGAGTTGATTTTCCGCAGATGCGAGTGGAAAGACAGGTACTTGATCTTCTTCTCGTCCAGGTACTTCGCGTTGAACGGATCCAGAGGCATGCAGTAATCACACATGCCCTTCGGTCCGTGCCGGCACATCTTGTGGTCGCGACCTCTCGCAATCTTGCCATCTTTCTTGTCTAATCGATCGTCTAGTGGATGCTGCCTGACAACGTCCCAAGGGTTCTTGATTTTCTCGGACGGCGACGTCACGGGCGGGGGATCGATCGGCAGGTTTTCGGTCGGCAGAATGGGCTTGCCGTTGAGTCGGTTTGAAGATGCCAGAGGGTGATTTGCTTCGGTGCCGTTCGCATCACCGTTGGCTTGACCATCTTTGAGCTTGTAGTTTATGAAGATGAGATCGCCATGCCTGCGAAAGTTAGTATTGTACTCGGGACAGAGGTTAGACACTGGCTCACTTCAGTCCGATCTGCCCAACTTTGAAAGAGGCGATCTCAACCAAGTTCTTCGCATCGCCACCTGTGGGTGCATTTGAAAGGGTTATGGAGTTCGGGTCGACGGTCTCTGGAAGGTTCGGAATCAACTGGAGGGGTCAGTCGGACCTCGCACAGCTTGTAGAACAGAATGCTCTCATACCAGACTTCCTAGGTGTCCAAATGTGTCGTTTGCATCTATATTCAGACGACTCGTGCCGTCAGGCCCTCGAAGTCTCAGAAGCATCTTGGATGGCGAAAATCGAAGCTCTGGAAGGTGTGATCGATGTCGAAGAAAGGTCGGGGGTATAAGGATTAAATAAGAAAATCTACAGAATTGATTTCAAAGTACAGCGCCCATGCCCTTTCATATGTCGTTTCGAAGCTGGTGCGTGAAAAAGGAGACGTTGTAGCAGGGTAAGGGAGTTGGAAAGAAGACTCAAGGTTGTGGCAGCTTTTGCTTTTGCCGTTGCTTAGTGGGATGGGATGGGTTCGTGAGAGCTCCAGTGCGTACCACTTGGCCAACCTAAAGGTGAATCGCTGCAGCTTGCAACAGCGTCATCAAAGGTGGTGCCTTATTGTGGGACCGGCAAAACGACGGAGGGAGGGGATGCACGTTCCTTCAGCGGCCCCTGGCATAGCTTATTCACCACCCAAGCAGGGGCATTTGGGAACGGCCTTACACTTGACACAGTACTAGGGTGGCTTGAGAGGCAAGGTGCGACCGCACAAGCAGCCACACTTGCCCTCCATGCTTAAGGTCTCTTTGTACCCTTGTACCTGGTCCAGGAAGCTGCTGCTTTACCAGAGGCTTTCATCAAGCACCCAGAGGACCATGGAAAAGGGCAGAAATAATTGTGTTTGGAAAGATTCAAATGTTGCACGTCTCTTTGACTTATTCTATTGTCAGCTTCTCAATAAGCCGTAGTCTTCCTGTCAAATACTTGGGCCAGAAAATCCACGGTGCAAGGGCTTAGGTCCAGGGCGGAGTAAAGCAGCGGGACAGCCTTTGACTTTACAGTGGGCAGCCAAAAAAGTGTCCAATGCGACCGGCAAGCTGTCCTGTCACTTTGGTACAGTACTGGACACGCTTCATCAACACCAACGACAAATCGCCTGCAACCGCAAATTCCTTGTCCTTCGTTCATCCTCTTTACTTTCCCACCACGATCCTTACGAGCGCACAATAATCCGCAGCCATGTTCGATGTCGACTGGATGAGCCTTGTGCTCCCTTTCGCCTACCTTACGGTCCTCGGCGGCGTCTTCATGACCTTTTCCACAATTTACAGAAAGCGCAAAGCCAGTAAGTCCTACCGACCTCTTTCGCGCCAAAGCAACCCGCGATGCCGACGATCTCCTCGAAGAACACCAATACTGACCAAGGCTCTTTCATTGCTACAGCTCAGAGCGCCAACCTTGCTCCTTGGTTCGGTCCCCATCTACAGCGCAACATCTACCTGTCGCTGCTGCACCTCGAATCTCCGGAGGAGGGCGCCGAGAAGGCCCCCAAGATCCCCTCCACCGTCATCAAAGCCGCCCTCCTCCGCCGCGCCGTTGAAGACATCCACCGTCTGGTACAGATCCGTTCCGCCAAGCAGGCATGCAGCACATTGCTGCAGCGGGGAAGCGTCGGTGATGATCTGTGGCAGCGCTTCCAGCGCGCAGAGAAGGAGATGGAGGATGAACTGCGCGACGTCGTGATGGAGGTCAGTCCACCTACTCCAGAGCCTAGGGTTCTGGTCAGACTAGGAGACTACGTACTAACGTAATGCCCAGGCCAACGCCCTTGCCCCCAACTGGGGTCAGTCTATCTTCCAGTCCGCCAACGAGATTGCCGCCAACACCATTGTGCGCAACCGCCTCGAGGAGGTCCAGAACACCGTCGAGCAGGAGAAGGCGTGGTGGGAGAAGCGCAGATCGACCATTCAGACCGAGTTCATGAAGGAGCTCGACGAGTCCGAGAAGAGCTCGACCGCCCCGCCTAGTGTCGATGGCGACGCCGTTCTCGTTGACTCTACCGCCTCTACCACCAGCACACCCTCCAAGAAGAAGAAGGGCAAGAAATAAGCGATACAGCCATCATCTCTACTGTACCACGAATCCACCCCATTCACGCATCATACGTCCCCTCCACATATCAATACGCGCTCAGGTGCTCCGCACCGTTCACATTGTCATTAGATACCTCATCCCCCCGGTGTATGGAAAAAGAGCACTCAACGGCTTCACGGTTTTTAGGCGTTCAGGGTCATAGTCGGCACGTTTTGCATCATGAATTGATTGAAAAGCTCTAAATATCTTGATTGACCCACCCCTCTTTTCCCAGACGTGAGTCCAAAGAGGGTCTATTTCTATGTGGATAGCTGTGCCACCAACGCCTCAAAATGTGTTGTGATATCAACGCAATGCCATGCAAAAAAGCAAGAAGATCAAGCAAGATGAATCCCAAACATCAAATAACAACCGTCATGATCTCGAAGATCACGAGTACCACGGCATCTTTCTTCTCAGAGCCTCCTCATCCTCGGCTAATCTCGCCTGCCGCGCCTCCTCCATGATCTGCTCCTCGGTCTTGATACGTATCCGAATGGGAGTCTCACAGCCTCTGTGGCGCAAAACACGTCAGTCCATGATTCTCATACTTGAACAAGACGTCGCCAACGATCAAACTTACCTAAGACCGATAAACTTGCCAATCTTCCTGCGCTTCTCTTCGAGCGTGAGACCCGACTGCCAGGTGATGGGGCAGGGGTACTGTCCAGACCAGGGCGAGGGGCTGCGCTGGTGGTAGAAGCGCGCCAGGTCGTCGAGCTGGTCCTCGGTGAGGAGCCAAAAGTTGAGCAGCGTCGTGGGGAAGGCCGGGTGGACGGCGCCCGTCGACATTTGGACGAGGGGAGCCAGGGGGAGGCGCATCTGGCGCATCTTCTCCTGAAAAGCCGCGTTGCGGGCCGCTCGCCGGTTGCCGATGCCGCCGCTGGTGGTGTGGTGGTGTCTGGTTGCCATCTTTTTCTCTGTTTTCTTGTTTCCCTCTCTTCGAGCTCTGTGATTTCCTCTCTTGCGTTCTCAGCTCCCTTGTTATCCTCCTATCAAACTCTTCTGAAGTATGCGGTTCGTCTCCAGGGGTTGGGATGGCTTAAGTTCGGCAGCTCTGTGTACTTTTAAAAGAGTATTACGAATATCAAGGTACCGCCAACACGGTTCGATGGCAATGATCAGAGAAAAAAGTGGTTTTGTAGTAGTAATTAAAGTGATGAAAGTGAAGTGTTTTGAGAGATACAAGATGAGGATCTCCGCGAGAACAGACTGTGGCGTCTTTCAGCTTTGATGCCGTCCTCTTCTCTCGTCTTATTTTTGGTTTCTTTGAATAGAAAAGAAGAAGAAGCTCTGTGCTTTAGATCTATGCCTGCACAGACGGGAGAGGGAATTAGAAAGTAATGCGTATTTGTGTTTTAAAAAAAAACGTTGTTGACTTCTATAGATTCTCGAGATAGGAAACTTGTGGTAATGAAATCTGAAAGAGATCGATGTTGAAGCATCTCTACACACTTGAGGATGCGGAAGACCGCCTCTCTTGTATGTTCGTGAGCAAACCGAACCCAAAGGGACGGGGCCCTGCCACTAGCCGATTGAACCCTCCCACCACACCGTTCCCCCCTTTTTTTCTCTCGACATGGCTTTCTTTGATCCGGAACAGCAACCTTGATCAGAGACAAAAACAACAAGAACAGAACCCCCCTCCCCAAAAGGAGAAAAGATGATGGATCAATGGGGCAATGGGAGGGGCCACCACAAGCAGCTGGAACAGTGAAAAAAAGGACGGGAAAGAAACCGTCACAACAGAAATCCAGACCACACTCCTCGCTTTACTCCACCAAAGCGACCCGACCGACTGGGACCCGAAGTCAAACGAAGAGGAGGGGGTCTGCGGCAGGGCGACTAATACGTCAGGCGAGACACGACTGCTTTGTCTGTTGACGGCCAGAGTTTGCCATCCTGGGTAAGGTCAGGCGAGGTTGTAAGCGGCGTTTACTTTCTCCTGAGAGGGCTTGGGAAGAATAAGCCCCCCTACCCAGACTGCCGGTTCTCTCTCGCTTTTTCCCTCTCTCGCTCTCTATTCGGACTTACAAGTCCAGGTGGTTTTGGTGTGCCGACTCTCTTTATCTGCTCGGTACGCCTAAAAAACCAGTATGAGACATGGCGGAGGGCGGGGAGGAAGAGGGTCGGGTGAGAGACAGCTCGACAGGGGGTGAGAGGAGCGAGACACAGCGACGGAAAGGATACAAGGTGGTGGGCTCGCGCTTCTTGTTGCGTATGAAATGTCTGAGAAATTCCAGTCCGGCCGGCCTAGGAACGAGTCGCGTGCCGGCCGCAACAAGAAGCCAGCTCCGCCCCGAATATGGGGGTTCCGAGACAAGATCCGCCTATTCCACCCATTTGTCCTCCTCGCCATGCTTCCTCTACCCTCCTCCACATTGACTTACCCTCAATTACAATACTCCCTCTTAGCACAGTCCCTCGCCCAGCCAGAGACCGGTAAATCGGACAGCCGTGCTTTCAGCGGTTTGCGGACGGAGCTTGGATTTGTGAAGGGGGCTGAGCAGTCGGTTCCGTGGTGTCCCGGACGACTAATAAACAAAGAAGTCAACGTACAATGGCCTTGTTCAAGGTTTAGACAAGGACAAACACGAAGAACACTGTTCTCGACTCTGAAAAGACCAAGTCAATGGCAAATTTCCTTCAAAAAGACACCCATCCCCCCTTCCAAAATAGCCTTACAATCTGTCTTTTGGATCATGCGAAAAGTGGTCTGCAGAGGTAAAGCATCAATTTTGCCCGCTGATACTGAACAAAAAAAAAAAAACATCACCAAACCCCGTATTATCTCTCCTGGACAACGCGTCTGACGTGCAACCTCACGCCACGGCCTCGTTTCACAGTACCAGGCCGTCGTTGACAAGCCTTTCAGCTCCTAAAGCCACTTGAGCTTGGCAATGTGGTCCGTCTTCTTCCTGCTCATTTTGACAAAGCCGAGTGCTTTTAGGTCCGCCAGGCCCCGGTAAAAGGACACCAGCGCCCCCCGCTCATCGGCGTTCCCTTCGCTCTCCGTATCGCCGGCAACCATGGCGTAGAAGGCGGCCCATAGATCTGCGACGTTGATGAGGTTACCCGTCTCCAAATACAAATGATACAGCAGCGACGTGACGGGCATCGTCGTTGAGATGCCTTCGTCGGTGCTGCAGCACGAACACGCGAGGTAGTCTTGCGGTCGCTTCAGGCTCCGCTCAAAGACATCCTGGGGTCGGGGTACGAAAACGTCGCGGTACGGTGTCTTGGAATCGTAGAGCCATGTCTCGTGCAGGAAAATTTCTGCGGCCGGTTCGCAGTGTATGACGTCTTGGAATACTTCCGCGACCCGGTCAACGATTTTGGTAAAGGCTTTATCGTCTTCGGAAAGGGCTGCCGAATCGTGGCTGAGCTGCACCTTTTGCGCAACAACGGTGGTGCGAAGGACTCGGCTGTGGCCACTGTAGGCGCTCCGCAAAGTGCTACCGTCCTCTTTCGCCCTGCCGAGAAGCTCCTGTGAGTTGCGGAGAAGGCTTTCTACAAGAGAAGGGAGGTCCCCGGCCTCGGACTCCCATCCGGTGAGACATAGCTGGGCATCTCCGCTGGCCACGGCGTCTTGAACACGTTGCAGCATCGAGACAAAGTCATCCGGTTGCATCCGCTTGATGCTTTCAACAATGTCCCAGCCATCGGACGAAGGGGAAATTCCCTCGGCCACCGCTTTCAAGTACATTGAGGAAAAGTCATCTTGAACGACTCTCGTTGCCTGAATGAGCTTGAGCGAGCGGAGGAGGCGGGTGACCCATTCCCGTTTTTTCTCTGGAATGTCGAAAATCTTTTCGCGCAACAGGTTGTCGTCCTCCAATAAAGACCTCGCTAATCTCAGATCCTTCCCTTCAACGGCCTTCTCAACCTCACGCCGGAATGAAGGAAGCGACCGGATCGACTCGATATGTACGTCCTGGACAAGTTCGCTGTTCATTTCATCGTCCTCCACAGCAAAGACGCTCAACGGATTTGCATAAAAGTGACACATATACGCGTACTATAAATGTCAGCCCGGCCGCTGCAGCGTTCAGTAGGAAGCCTTACCTTGATTGATGCGATAAAAGACTGAATGCTGGCAACCTGGTCTTGCTGTCTTTCCACGAAACTATGCAACAAATTCTCTCCCAAAGTCAGAGCAGCATCAGATCCCGCAATGGTCGGCTTGAAGATCTGTTCCAAAATCGCGCTTGTTTGGACGACATCGAACTGAGCACCGTAAAGATGTTGGCACGCGGATTTGAGTAATCGCGCCTGCAACAGTTCTACTGATGTTGCAATGCCAAACAAAAGCGTGAATGGGATCTTGAGCCTCCATGAGCTAGTTTTAAAACGTCAGTATGCTTCTGAAGTCTGTTGTGATGGCAACTTACTTGAAGAGGATGATCAGATCGGAGAGAAGAGCGCTGTCGAATCCTTCGCTATCCTGGAAAGAGACAAAAATGTGATCACATTTCTGCGCCGTTGAGAATGCGTACAGACCCTCGAGATCGTAGTTTAGATACTTCCGGCCCTGGTGTTTGTAAGCTTATTGTTGCATTCTTCAAGCTGAAGGAAAGAAAACCCACATCTTGCCCGGATGCAATTTCGACATCATCGTCATCCAGAGACCCTCGAGACGTGGCATCCTCAATGATCTTCTTGAGAGCAGCCTTCAAATTGGACGCTTCCGATGACTTGAGCCTGACAAACTTGCTCCGCGTATTCTCCTCAAGCGTTTCGGATAATTGTTCGAACAGCAGGTCCTGAGATGAGATGTTTGGGCCGGTGATGATAAAAGCAGTCGGAATTTTACTCCTGTGGTGCCGTCAGTCGTGCAAGTCAACCCCACGCCGTTCTCACTTACTGTGAACCAGACTGGTTACGAATGAAAGCAGTCACTTGATCTAGAGTGGCCGAGTTGGCATCACGCAATTTTCCCTACAAGATTTTCGTGCTCAGCGTAAGATTCCAGTAGTTAGACATGATGCTCTCCTTACCTGGGCTTTGGACTCAAGATGGTCCCAGCTCGTCTGGAACTGCTTCTCGCGGAGCGCTACGCACTCGGGCAGCTCTTCACCGTTCAACAAAGGCACAAACGAGGATGAAGTAACGATATTCGCCTTTTCGACGACAGCCTTGTTGGACAAACGGCGCCGTTTGGCGGGTCGATCCACTCTAGCTTCCTCACCAGGAGGCCGGAAGATGAAGGCGGCCTGTAGACGAAGTTCAGCAACAATCACGCGTGTGAAGAGCAGAATTGCTCACCTGATGGTCTTCCTGCCTGAGTTGAGGCTCTTGATCTTCTTCAGCACTCATTTTGCGGATTGTCGTAAGCGGCTTGCGGTGAGAAGATGCGTCGTTGACATGGAGGTCGCGCTTTTCTGACTGGCACGCGTCACCTGCATCTTCAAAGCACGGACTTGCACAGTGTCAGAGACGTGGACCATCGCATTTTGACCAGCATAACTGCTCATGTGCACAGTGTGTGAAGGTTTGGGATACCCATGTCCCCATGGTGATATTATCACTCACATAGCACAATTGGATGCCTAGGACTGGCAGATGAAGTGCGCCGGTACGCAAGCACGTCTTTAAAAGTGTTTTCCATACAAATGACATTAAACCAATTCTCCAAGGCCGTGTTGAACTAGTGACTACCAGTCTCCTCGCCCTCCTGAAATCGCAAACCCTTGACCTGAGGGGAGCTTCATTCTACCTCAAAAACTTGAGGCCATTGCCATCCTACACCTGCCCCATCATAACCCAAATAAGCGGTCGCCGCAGGCAATGCGAGCATCCGTGGATGCCAAGACTGTCCTTTCTAAGCTGGATTCCTCTCCCTTGGGGGCGCCTCCACCCCTTTGTACAATGAACCCGCTTCACTGGACGAAGACGATGCATGCCGTCTAAGA